CCAAAAGTAATCACTTCCCATGTCGTGTAGTCTCCAGCTGTTTCAATCCGTCCATTTTGGTGGAATTTACAGTTCATTTGAGATCGTTAAGCGTAGAAAGCAGTGATCTGGGTGGTGACCAAGGTGAGGTTTTAGGTCTGGATTTGGAATCTCTGAATATTTTGCTGAAGCGGGGAGTCTATATTGGGGCAATGCTTTATTGTCTTTTGGTTTTCGCGTGCAATAGTGCTCGCAGTGGAGGGAGTGGTGAATGCAGGGTACAGAGCGATTGAGCAGTGGGCATTGTTGTTGAGGAATGCGTGGCCTAAGGTTTCCACGATTTGTAAGATTTTCAAAGAGCAAGGTGTGATTTTGACTGCACTTTTAGGTCTATCTGCATTCTTCTCAATGGCAGAGACTTCTATAACTACACTTTGGCCATGGAAGGTTTGCTTTCTGGGTTTGAAGATTGATAGCTCTTATAATTAGTGAATAGCAATTGAAATCTGAGTTTTAGTATGGAAACATCAACAAAGTTGAAAAAGATAAATATATGAAGTTGAAGAACATTCACAGTTATTGATTGTTAGTGTTTCAGTAATTTTGTGTTATGGTTTAGATAAATATATGAAGTTTGTGCCTTGTTTGCCTCTTTTTGTGCTCGTATGTAACTCATTGTGAATTTGTAGTAAATTAGAGTAAAGGGCTTAATTTGTTTCAGGATAAATCTCTTTAAGTTAGCTCCTGAGTTGTAGAGTTCCTTGTTACAAAGTTTTGTACTTCCTTTGTAAACAATAAAGGAAGAATGAATAAGAAATCATGTTGGGTAACTCTAATAGACTCTAGAATGATCAAAAGGTGGGTGGCAATGGTAAATGAGCTGGATCTTTTGTGACCATAGGGTCTTTGAATTCAAGATTTGGTATTTTAGGTGGCTCTAGAACTTTCTATGACCTAGATACTCGTATTTCAACTCTTGCATGCTGGTCATTCTTTATTTTGTTTGTTTTATTTTATTTTTTGATATTGTGGGTATCCAAACCTTTGGGCACCAATCATTCTTTATACAATAGATTAATTTGCATATATTTCTCCCTTTATATTATTGGTAAAGGAGTTGATATTCTACTAGAAAATCAAAACAATGTCCTTTATATCGTGCATGACAAGCTGAGCTTATTTCCTTCAAGGGGGGTTTTCCATTTTTACCATTTTTTTTTCCCTCCCTTTGTTTTTTCTTCAACTCACTTACGAAATTATTAATCTGAAGCTATCCTACAGAGCAACAAAAAATGATCTTGGATCTTCTTATACTTTTTATTTCCTTTTCTCCTAAATGAATTTGTTTCTGGTCTATATGTATCTGTGCACACTGAAAGGCATAACACCTTTTTGGTCTATATGTATCTGGGTTATTATTGTAGATATTTTGTTTTCATGCAATGGACCTTTTTTTGAAAAAAAAAAGAAGGAAAAACGAACTTAAAAGATAGAAAGAAATCATAATCATTGAATTTTTCCTGAATGATCCTAGGTTGCTATTTTGCTTCTTACCGAGATCACTCCAAAAAGTATAGCTGTTCACAATCCCACAGAGGTGGCTAGATTTGTGGTAAGTTTTCTATTTAAGTTTCCATTTTCTTCTTGAACTTGCAACTAAAACTTTGCTGAAAAGCTTTAACATTCTCTTCTAGAGTTTGGTGAACGTTGACATTTTAAAAGATGAGAGAAAACAAAGCAATAAAAAAACCTGGTGATGCAGCTGTTGTGCATTTGAACTTAAATTGTTACATTGCATGCTAAGTGTTCTCATTTTAGTGAAGAGATGATTAGGAAAGTCTATAAATAATTTAAACCATGTCAGTGGAGAATTGTTGCATGTGTGGGGCAACATAGTTTTGGCTATTGGAATATGAGGGTAGATCTTCAGCCACTAATGTTGAACTGAACATCAAGTTGGTTGTAGGACACTCTTAATATTTTAGAGTTGATGAAAGCTCGGGGAAAACGAATATAATTTTGATTTGTGTTAGTAGTTGTATGGTTTTTGACTATTGTTATTGCTTAATGATAATCATTTCTAGGATAATTGCACATTTTACCCTCTGCATCTCAAATAAATTCCTTATAATTATTGTTGTTCTCTATCTTCTCCTTAACAGGTGCACTTGACCGAGAGAGAGAGGCAGAAACTGCAGGTGTGGTCTCGAATTATGCCTTACAGAGAGTCCTTCACTTGGGCTATTGTTCCTTTATTTGATAATAGCATTGGTGCAGCTTCTGGTGGATCTGCTTCTTC